AGGCACTGCTGGGTGGTCCGTCTTACCCCACGTTTTTTCTTGTCTGAGTTTTTGACATGTCCTTCTTTAAGAGCATCCACCACCTAGATGTCTTTAATTTGAAATTTAGTCTTTACACATATCAACAGAGGAAGGATTGAGCATTCTGAAGACTATAAATAATATGAATTTACGAGAGCAGTGTAGCAAGATATGCGGCCTCAAACCTTAGCTGGTCCGTCTTATCCCACCTTCCCCTACCTATATTAAAAAAAATCTTTTTTATGTTTGGGGGTCAAAGTCCAAAAATTTCAAAAATCCGAGATAGCAGTTTTGTAGCCCTGTTGATTCTACACCTTTTGTGTCCGAAACATTTTTTTTTCAATTTTCTGTATCTCTTAAGCTGTAGGCCTGACAGCTCTTCCCGTGAAACCTTCTTTTGGGGGTCGAAAATGGCAGAAATGACGTCACTCTGACGTCATTAGAGGCCAACCTATCATAGCCTTTGGAAAATTTTTGGTAACAATGTGCAAAAGCTATTCACGGGAGGGTACTGAAAGTTTGGTGACGGTCGGCGTAGCGGTTCTGGAGAAGTATCAAAAAAAAAAAAAAACTAAAGGGGGCTGGGCAAAAAATGCCCCCCCCCCCCACCGCCTGGAAGGTTAAGGTCTCAAACTGCCCTTTGCACACCCTGTATTGGTCTCTGATGGCCTAAACGGGCCTCGGGCCCAAACCGGCCTCTAAAGGTCCCACACTTGACACTGGCCTTTAATATGTCAATCAGCCCAGTTGGCAGTTGCGGTGGTAGCCAGGGGCGGAGCTTCCCATACAGTTGGTGGGGCGGCTGTCCCACGGTCCCACCAACTTGGTATTTTGCCCCACCAATACCTAAGCGTTTTGCCCCACCAACTTAAGCTGATCTCTAAGACTTTGTTGATAGGGTAGCCTGGGGCAAGACGCCCCAGATAATTTATTTTGCTACATAAATTTTGTCCCACATCACCTAGAAGGCCAAATTTGTGCTCAATGCGTTCTTTGGACATTTTACTTTAAATTGCACCCCTCAAATTCATTCACTTATGATCGGACTCCAAGCTAGGAAGTGATTTGTGAAGCAACTGCAAATGGGGCATTTTGCCCCAACCCCAGGGCAAAACGCCCCACGGCCTGGGGCAAGTAGCCCCATACTTTAGATTAAAGATTTAACATGGATAGTTGGCTAAATCTTATGTGAGAGGTCCGTTAGACCTCTGGAGGCACGGCACTGAAGTTAGCACATTCCATCCTGTCAGGTGTTCAGCTATGACACTATTGTATGAACAGGTTTTTCACCTGCCTCATAAGACTAAATAATAAATTATTGCAATGCAAATGTTTACAAAATACTTCCATTGCCATCCAGTTGGTGAGAAAAATATACATAAAGGCATAGAAACTTACTGTTCGCCAGCTACCGAACATTAGAAAGTGGGTAGCCCGAACAACACATGAGGTAAAACGCCCCATGGGGCTTTTTGCCCCGCGACCTACTGGGGCGTTTTACCCCATCACGTAGTTCGGTCAGAGAACAACGCCTTGCACTCCAGCAAGACATAATTTAACAGGAACCAACCCGGCATGATAAGCGTTAGACAATAGTTGTTCAAAATACAAGTCGTTAACCTGATGTGGACCATAAAAGAACGCCATGATGCATAAACTGACAACAAAACATAAAAATCACTCAAAAAACACATTTTTGGCTATATCTCCCGAAAGAGTCATCATAATTTCTTTCCAGTCTGCTCATATAATGTTCATATAGTGCACGTTTTATAGAAGAGAGGATGTTTCTCCAGAACTCTGCCAGTTCCGAGTAACACCGGTGAGGCGTTTTACCTCGGCGGGGCGACTTGCCCCGGTCTACCCTATGCATATGAATCTTTTTCGCGTTGAAGGGCTTTGGAATGTCTATTTGATGCAAAATATTATATATGTAATGATAGGAATTGATTCAGTGCGGTATTTTATTCAACTTCACAATCGGACATTGTGGGTTTGAGACTTTTTGCCCCACCAACTTCCCTGGAAAAGCTCCACCCATGGTGGTAGCTGATAAACCTCTTAAAAACGTACAGGCCTGGCTGAGCCTAGCTGGGCCGTTCATGTTGATTTTTATACATTGAAAAGAATCGCTTTGCAGTGGACGTTTCACGCTCGCTCGTAACAAAGTTTCTGGATGCCTCTGGAATTCGCATGGGTGCCGACGGCTGCGGAGGACGGGGGAACGCGTCCATCAGTTTGAGTTTATGGACGGGGGTCTCCCTGAAATTTTAACCAAATGTTTTTTTGTCTCGTTTCTTTTTACCTCTGAGCATTTTTGCGAATTCACGTGACCATTTATGTCACTTATAGTGCAGGAGGCACCTTTCCCAACGCCAGGGGGCGGCTTTCCCACCCTCCAGGGTAATATGCTCCTTTCACTTCTTCAGGAAAATGCTTAATAACAAAAAGGCTACCTATCACATTTCAAGCACGAAAGTGTGATATTTTTAGAAAAATGTCGGCTTCCGTTGAAACTCCATGTTTTTTCTTTCCATTCGTCATTTTTGAATAATATACGTCATTACGAATAATAATATACTTTTCAAAACCCTGGGCATCTTTCCCCACTCTCACCTCCCCTACCTACAAGACCAGAAAAAAATAAATGATTCACTGGGAAGTGGGAACAGAGGATCGAAACAGTGATTCCACATGCAGTTGGCTTATCTTTTTTTCTTCAATTCAGAAATATAATTAATAGCTATGGGTGCAATCACGGCTTGCAAAAAAAGCATTACCCATATGTATCATTCCCATTTAGTGGCAACCTCAGCACAACAGACAGGCGACAGCCTTGCCGTGCCTTGTCCTGCTTACATTTGATCACAATCCCACAACTTGAAAATGTCATGATCACAAAAACAGATCAAGATGCATGGGAAAGAAGCCTTTGAAAAAATGATGGCACATTGTAACACTGCAAATCAAGGCTAAGACAAATGTACCTATTTGGCTATCTGAGATTTGAGACGGAAACTTCCATAAAGCAACTTACTATCTAACCACAATTTTATTTTAAAAAATATCAAGTATGTGCATTTTTCAACCTATACCAGTTATTTGAAGGTAAGATTGTACCAAAATGAATAGAAAAAGATCCCATGCCATTAGGTACCTACATGGTCATGACACCACCTACCAGAATCAAATATTTGATGTCTTCATTTTATTATTTCAGAAGCCTTGTCAGATTTTCTTAGCCTGTCTCATCACTGAAATTGCACAAATACCTAAGTAGGTACACCACAAGTGGTATGGTTGAATAGAAAATCAAAAAGTGAAATCAAGAGGAGTAAGTTGATATTTTTAGCTGGCCAGCATCAATGGTACCTACCTATTGAAACTTCACATGCACTTTTCTTAAAAGCTTTTAGGGCATTTACAGGCTTTAAAAGTCTAACTGTAGTTTACACAATTGATATTTGCAACACAAAACAAGCACTACTGTACACAGTGGGAGTTAGAGACACATACATCTTGCTACCTATAACCATGCAAAAATCTGCAACTCTCATTTGCCTGCCTTGACCACTATACTCTGTTCCATTTCAAGCTTGCGGTCAGAATTTCTTCGGCAGATCGCTCCTCTGCTCAAGAATTTGCGTCTTTAAATGTAAGAGCTGTATATACAAAAATCACGCACTGCTTTCAGCAGGGCACTTTGGCCGCAAGCTTGGAACGGAACAGAGTGTAGTCAACAAAAAATTGGTTGCACCATGAATAACTATCAGATATGAAATCAGGTCAAAATACATCGTGTGGTATGTTTGTTATAATCACTTTGGCGATCGGACCTTTTGTATATAAACACCAGCAAATCAAACAAGTGTTGAGAGTAGATTATTGCATAGGTTTCAGACATATTTGGACAAATGACTGGCTTGGACATTTTTGGACGGACAGTCAACGTAAGTATGAATTCAATTGAATTGGACGAACCTTAGACATTTTGGTAAAAGTATACATTAGGTCCGAGTGCCTGTTAAAAGATAAAGTTTTCACATTCTTACATTATTTGACATCCTGAATCCAAAAATGATACTTACATGTACTGGAAACGTGGAAAAAACACCAAATCACCAACCCATGTCACTACAATACCACCCGCCGGCATTAACACGCGACGAATGAAAAACGTGGGCGTTGTAGCGCTGCCATATATGGATTGCTGCCATTTCAGGGGAAATTTTAGGAACAGGGGTTTTGGGTGGGGAAAAAGAAAACGATACGAATGGTGTGATGAAAGTGACGTCATAATTACAAAAAAAGGAACCTAACCTAACCTAACCTAACCTAACCTAACCTAACCTAACCTAACCTACTGATGTTTGCCTACCGGGGATAAGGAAAAAGTTACTTGCAGGAATAGATTGCAGGCAAGAGTAAATCAAATATTTTTAGGTTAAGTGGTCATGCATCAGGCTTCAGGCCTTCGGCCTGAAGCCAGATACATAACCACTTAACCTAAAAATATTTGATTTACTCTTGCCTGTAATCTCTCCTAAGGCATTGCCTTCGGCACTGCGCTGCTTCGCCGCGAGAAGTATTATGACGTCATTATTCACAGTTGAATAGCAACTGTTAGATATCATCCTTGATTTACTTGACCTTGGCCAGCTTTGCGCAAGTAATTGCCGCCCGGCACATTGCGCTAGTGTTTTTATATACCTTGATTGCGCTAGTGTGGAGTTGGTGTGTGGAGTGCGGTAGCGATTTGCGGTAACTGTAAGTATTTCATAGGTGCTTTGATGCTTGGTTCCAGAAGGAATAACTATCAGATATGAAATGAGGAGGTCAAAATACATCGTATAGTATGCTTTTCATAATCGGTTCGCCACTCGGACCTTATATATACTAATACCGACATTTTCTGAAACTGAGTACTGACACCACTAATGCGAGCCAAACATCCTATAAATAGACAGTTGTGTACCTACCTGATAACCAGATATACACTGTGATAACCAGCACGCCGGAAATTACCAAGACAGGACAGGAGCTTTATAGCCTTGAAGACGACCCCAACAGAAATGTCAACGAACAACGATATATGTCGCGAAGCGACCGGAAACGCACAGTTACAGTAGCGTGTCCCCCGCCAGGGGGCGGTGAAGTCTAGTAGGAAAATCTCAGGGTATATTGAATTAGGGGGTAGGACCAAGTTTAGTAGGCATGATCTCAGCAATTATCTTGTTTTATATGGCGGTTTTCATTATCACAATATTATTTTTGATATCATGAAGTTTGTATATCTCGGTTTTACGAAAAATATTAGAGCAACAAAGATAAATTTCGCGAAAAAAATAATTTTAGTTGGAAACACCCATTCTGGTATGCAAAATTCAGTATGAAGCCCAGTATGGTGACTGTCTAGTGTGCTTCCAAGGCTGAGTACCTGATATCAACAGGAGTTGTTTACTATTTTGCCTTACGTTGCTAGGTGGTTGCTAGGGAGCTAAGGATACTCTCTTGCGTGATCATTCGCACTTATTTTTCCTCATTTTATCGACATGTTGCTGTTTCCGAGACCTAACTCATGCTAAGAAAAAAAAGCAGTTTTCTTAAAATGTGTATTTAAGTGCCGTAGTATTAATACAGCACCGCAATTCTGCTTAAATATCTGCAAAATCCTGACTTCCCGGAAAATTGTTGGTGGTGATGGGGATCGAGCCCGTCGATGAAAAGTAAGTCAATATTCAAAGGCTTCAAAACGTTATATTTCTTGTTGTTCTGTGAAATAGTAATGCAAAGACCGATGATAGTGCCAGTGTTGAGCTTTCCAATGAAGCATTGCAATTAGTAGTAAGGTTATTATCATCTTAGATATCTTCCATCAAATATTAGAATTCTGCCATTCTCTTGCTGTAGAACAGGGTTACTTTCAGTCTCTTGGGAACACGATTTGCCGGTCTCAGATCGAAAAACACTTCAAAAAGCGGTAATAGACAATGAAATTTCCCACCTGATAGCATCTCGGGTTTTTATATATCCTGTCTAGAATTTTCATAAATCAGACGTAAAAATGGCCAATTTCGTCAGATTCCGAATTTTTGCCATTGGGTCTAATGTAAAGCATGGCTACTTTCAGTCTCTTGGGAACACGATTTCTGTACTTCAGATTGAAAAACACTTCAAAAGTCGCAGATAGTAGACGATTTAATCTACAAGATAGCATCTCGCTTTTTTCTGTATCTGGTCATGTATCTTCATAAAACCCTCTCAAATATAGTCAATTTAGCATTAAAGTCTACGGATTTAGAAGAATTTTCATATCCGACTAGATTTGGGCTACCATGTCTGTTGACCGGGGGCCGGGAAAATCTGGCAATCCCCGGCGTGACGTAACGTCGGGGATGACCGATGGCGCCTTGCACTGAAAGATACGGCAGAACGGCTATTTTTGACACGGTGACTGTAAATACGGTGAGCTCATCTGGATTTGGTCACGTGATCATTTTCGAGCGCAGCGCACGTGCAGTTGTGGCGAGGGCACTTCCAAAAATTCTGGATCCATCCGATTTTGGAGCCAATGCAAAGTCTATGGGAAAATGGTTCATTTTTATTTGTTTTTCGTATCACACCTAAACTTTCAAGTTTTTCTCAAAGATACACCCTGATTCATGTGTAGAATTGATTGGTCTTTCATATGGTATCAATTTTAGATTTTTATCGGATAATTTCAAAAATTACTTGTGTGAGAAAATCACGGTCGCGGTGGGCGCGACCGGCGCCGCCACCTTCGGTGACCGTGCCACGATCGCGGTGGATGTGACCTGCATCACTGCCTCTGGTGGCGCAAGGCTCGCTGCAACACCACGCAGCGGCGGCGTGGACCGCGGCCGGTGCCGTGGTGAGACCGTACCGCCCACACGCACCGGCGAGGCGGCACGGTGTCGCAACCTACGCACTGGCCACTGACCGACCTTCGCCCGACCCCTCGGGACGTGACGGTGAACCCGGGACGGAGCGCGAGGAGATGGCTTTCGCCCGACCCTGGGGGCGCGCTGGCGAGACCGGGCCGGCGCGCGAGGTCACGACTTTCACGCCGCACAGCCGTGCTACGTGAAGTACGCGTCTCTCCGACGTTTAGAACATGTAGTTTTTATATTTATGTAATTAGCCCTGCAATGGATTGGAACAGGCTTTTTCTCCTGTAGCTCTGTATAGCTAACAATGAATAAATAGGAGCAGACCTGGAATACGGATCGATCGCATTATTCCTTGTGTGAAATATATTACGACGTATTACGGTGAATACGTGCGTAATAACTTATTGCAGGACCGATTCTCACGCACTGCATGATTTATTGTACTTCAAAACGTTCGATATGCCAGGTTCTAAGCTGATGTATATGTCACCCGATTTGATGCGGTTGCATGGTCTATTGCACATATAAGATAAGATACGTTAGAGGCAAAACTGAGTATGTCGCAGAATGTTCACTATTTTACGTGGTTTCACGGGTTTTCCAAAGCAGAAAACATAATGCTAGTTGCATTGTTTGTCGGTTGGCGGTTGCATTAGGTACGTTTAAAAATTGGCAATGTAACATTACGAGAAACAATACGGGCCGTCTGGTACAATAAACAACGATGAGGTACCGGGTCGCATTGTTTATTGTAATGATATTAACTGTTAACAAAAAGTGTGTGACTTTATATCCTATCTGGTATTCTATATGAAAATCTGACATCTTGTTAGTTTGTGAGTTAGCACTTGTTTCGCATGTGGTTTCATTCGCGAATAAGGACGGATTCTTACGGCCATGCCTGTAACGTGCGTGTACTCGTATGTGTATTATTTTTATATGTTATACTGTGGCCCTCGGATTGCGTGAAAGTACGCGGGTTGTGACGTCACACTGCGTGTGACGGTATAAATACGCGCGCGTGGCGTAGGTCGGGGCTCGCTCTACTGGCTCGCTTCTGGCTCTCTCTTGTTCGCCTTCGCTGGCACTCGTCCGCCCCGTCACGGACGGAGCGGTGCTCCTCCGCGGCCTCGCCACGCAGTAATGTGAGTACCGGTGGGTCGCCGGTCCAGTCAGGACCTGTTTGTGCCCGAGTGACGCAGTAGTGTTTTCTTCACTGTGCGTGTAGCGGGTAACATTGCGCCTGTCTGCCTATTGCCTGGTAACTGTGAAATTTTGAAATTGTGAATTTTTGAAAAATGATTAAAAATACTTTTGTGCTGTTATGACACATAAAACGCTTATCAGCATGTTCCTCATCATGTGATAAAGCCATATCCGTGGTCCAACATAGCCGAGGGCCCGAGACCCTCCCAATTTCCAACCATCGACCTTATAAGCAAAGGATGTAAGCGTAATGTAAGCGTAGATGTAAGCGGGCGACTTTCCGTTATATATCCGTACATATGCATCCTTATGAAAATCGGAAGTGTGACGATTGGCGACGCGCGCGACATCTGTGCTGCGACTGTGGCGACACCTGGTGGCTGCTTTTCTGCTGTATGTAGGTATTGGGGTTCTTGCCAGATGGTTCCTACTGCTACACCACTATGTTGACTCAATACTAGAAAGTTATTTTGCCAGTAAAAGGGAAGCAAATTGAAAGTTAAGTTATAAAATTGCTTATAAATGATGACGAGATAATAATAAAGAAATTTTGGTTGAATAAATATTTAAACATTTAACCGTGAAACTATATTCTGGTCAGGGGCGGATCCAGGAATTTTCGGGAGGGGGGAGGCAAGTCAAAATAGGGGCGAGTTGGCAATCTGGGGGCGCTTCATACGAAAGGGCGCCAAACCGTCGTCAAAATCGAGAGTCGTCAAACCCGCGCCGTGCTGGGTGACGTTGTCATGCTCCCCCTCAGGTTTTTCGCAAATATCTGAAAAACAGCTGTGCGCAGCGCCGCCGTTTTTAGCACACCTTATCATGCATCTTTTCTGCACATGTATAAATGCCAGACCCGGGTCGCGAGTTTCCTAAGTGTGGAACTATTCAGGCCGTCGCCCGTTCGAGTGTCGTCATCACTCGGCGCTGGCGGCTAGGTGCATGGATTGGCGGGTCCTTAAGTTGGCGAAGAGGCGGAGCCAGTTATCCTGCGTAAATATTTAGTCAGTCTTAATTTTAGCGAGTTCCCTAGTTAGAGAAAGAGTAACTTGCTCTACGTGAATATATAACCGGTGTTATTTCAGTTATCGTTCGTGCATTCGCCCACCTTGGAAGCATATTGATATCTCCTACGAGGTGCTTGTGTTAATTGACAGCGGGGTTTGTGCACTGCGTTTCGCTTCAGCATTGAGCAAATGTCTTCAGTAGGTATTACGGCTGGTGATTCTGCCTATCGGCGTTGAATGATGTTTGACACCAATAGGACATAAATTAGCAGGTAGTGCGAATTTATTATTAGCAGATTTATCAGCGAGATTATTAGCAGATTTATTAGCAGATTTATTATTTATTTTATTAGCAGGTAGTGCGGATCTATAGTGCGGATAGTGAGTGACGCCATCTGGACCGATGCTGGAGATGGTAGCGCCACCTGCCGCCACTTAACTGCTCGCTACTTGTAACAGTGCCTGGCTGGTGCTGTGTGTTGATTGTTTGAAGCGTAGTACCTTATGACGCATAATATAAGGTCACTTTGCAAAATTTGAGGAGCATGGACGAATTAATTTGTGAGGCATTGACGCCTTATTAACCCTCGCATGTGTGCGGCGTTTGCCAGCTTCTAATGTGTAGGGGGGGGGGGTCGGTTGGACCCCCCTTGCCGTTTGGCCCCTGATCGAGCTAGAGCTTCGCGGAAAAAACGAGCGTGTTGCCCGTGACGAGAGGAAGCCGATGATACCCAATTTTAAGGTCCTAGGTCATTGGTTGACCTTCCAGGTCAGGTCAATGACCCAAAGTCGGGAAAATCGGGACCTGTTAGAAAGTCGTAAAGTGTGGCTGCTAAGGGGGTTTTCGGGGTGCTGATCACGAATATCGTGTTAGTTTTGATCACAGATGATGTCTTGAAGCATTTAGACCTGGTCGGGTCAGGTCAGGTCAGGTCAACCAGTAGGCGTCGTGACGGGTATTCGTAGTACGTGTCAACCGCCTCTGACAGCTTCGTAA